TATTACGAGTTGCTGAAACAGGGAAAAAACATCAACGCGGATCTGTACTGCAATCAGCTGGATAAATTGAATGCAGCTATCAAAGAAAAAAGGTGCCAGCATTAGCGTCCAGAAAAGGAATAGTGTTCCATCCACGATAATGCTCGACCCGCATACTGCAGTGGTGACACTACAAAAACTGAATGCGTTAGGATGGGAAATCCTTAGTCACACCCCGTATTCACCTGACATTGCATCCATCTGATTATCATACCTGTTCAGATCTCTGCAAAAGTTTATCTAACGGGGGAAAAAAATTCAAGTCTTTTGAAAGTGTTTCTAAGGCACAGTTGCTGACTAATTTTAACTCCATTAATGATGATAACTTCTACAAAACAGGAATTTACAGGTTACCTGAATGATGGCAACAGGTTGTAACAAATAACGGAAGCATATATAATTGATTAATATTAAACACATATTTTTATAAATGAATTCAAATATTTTCTTTAAAATACGACAGAACTTTCCCTCCAACCCTATAGTTCCCTCTTGTAATTTTGTTACGGGGAGAGAGATTTTTTTTTCCTCTAACTCAACACAAAAGTGTATTCTCTATTATTCTAAAACACCCTTTTATAATTAACTAATTCTGATGCAAATCATGCTTATTCAGCAAAAAGAATGTATGGCTATTAATGCATCTGTTGCTAGGATTATATGAAATTTGAGTATTCTGTTCATAACCAGATTTAAAATATTTTAAGTGTTATACAGGATGAATCACCTAAAACTTGTACTGCAATTATTTCTAAAATGAAAGGTGCTATTGATTTGCTGATTGCATAGAACAGAAGTTAAGATATCATAATTTGAGCCCATTCACAAGCTTTAATATTTATTAGATTCTGTATTTTTTAACAAAGTAACTTCCCCCCCTCCCAAATAGAAAAGTGACTATTGACATCAATAAAATAAAACTAATGGAAATGAAAACATCATTTTTTTCCCCAGGATTCTAGTGCAAGTAGCTTACAAGCTAGCATAATATCAAATCTCTGAATACTGATGGTTATTTGCTTTATTTAATGGCAAAGACTACAATGCTGATGTGTGTGGTTGATTTGTGTGATTATATTTGCATGTGTGTGTTGCTGATTTTGCAGTAAAATAGTTTACAATTTGTATTTTTCTCATGTGCCATGGGTTAGCACTTTATTAAGAAGTACAGAAGTGAAGAATAAAATTATGAAGATTCTAAAGAAGAAAGGGAATACTGACATTTACAGGTTGTGTTCAGAATGATGACTACCAGCTACAATACAAGCCTCCAGTCTGTCATGTAAAGATTATTCCACAGGTTGTAGCATTTCAGCTGAAGTTCCAGAACAGGCAACTATAATACATCATTTCATATCATCTGTTGTAATCAGTATGTCTTTGTAGGCAGTCTTTTAGTTTTCCCCACAGCTGTCAAATCTTGTGAGTGGGCTTGAGCAAATACTGAATATGTATACAGCTCACAGTTAGTTGTATTGAGGAAAGAATGATAATTACCATTTCATTGTTAGTAAATAAAAGTGAAAATTTATGGGCACTATGCAAACTCGGATGACTGTTATTAGAGTATTAGAATACCTGAAAAGTTTTTGAAGAAAATATTGGACTTTTTAGTATAGTATGAACAAAGATGGTGACTCTGAAATAAAAAGATAATGCGAGGCTTGAATGATACCAGTAATAAAGTAAAAAGACTGGACAGAAAGATAGTAAGCCTGAGTATACTGTAAAATGAAAGTCGGTACATAAAAAGGTGTTGAGTGATCAATGTATTATTTATTTCAATGAGAAACTATCTAGCGGACAAAAAAGTTTATATATTTTTTGTATTCCATATACTATATTTAATTTTTATATTCAGTTTATATATTTTCCTATTCTGTATTCTTTTATTTTTATATTATCTTTTATATACTTCTGCATTTTTTATATTTTCATGTTACATGAAAGCATATCTTTTGAAAAGAAATAGGCAATATGGAGAAACAAAGTCTGTGCAAAAGTGTTGTACTGTCTGCAAAGTTTATGGAAAACATGTTGACGCTACATTTATATGCAGATTCTGTAGACTTCTGTCATGCGAAGCTTATTGTTTTAGTACTTTACATACAAAACCGCAATACTAAATTTTAGTTATTTTAGATATATGTAATATAATTAATTAATATTTTAAATTAATATAATAAAAGGTAAAAAAAAAAGTAAGTATACAAACCACATAGAGTACATTTACATAGCCCATGGATATAGTAATTTTAGAGGTAATTTTCTTTACTTCTTGTGATTTTTTTTAAATGGAAACTTCAGATCTCTTCCATTTTAGGATGGCATATGCCAAATAATGTGAAAAAAAAAGTTACTTCCATCAGTACTGTCTAATGGCCACTGTTAAATGTTTTTTTTTTTTTTTTTTTTTTTCCGTGTCTTTTGTAGCAGTGTTTATATTTTCAAAGTATTTTGAACAAAACATTTTTAAAGTGAGTTATTTTGTTTCATTCTTTGTTTTTTAAGATAACTGACCTAAATGATGCATTCTATGTTTTTCAGATTTTACCACAGTCGAAATGAGATGATGACAAAAGTATTGTTAAATGCTGGAAGTAGTTTAGTGCATAAAAAAATTGTTTGGCACATGTGGTCCTATAACAGAAAGGTTCAAAACTTTTTCATTTAATACACTGTATGCAGGAAACATACTTTTATTTTTTCTGCATTCTATCACTTGAGTGCGGGTGATGCAAAAGTACACATATTTAGTTGATTTGGCCTGGAGAGCGGGTATTATATAAATACAAGGTGAATGATGTTTGTGATGCTATGCAATGATTTCCGTTGTTTCTTTCTACAAGTTTAGTTTGTCAAGTTACTTGGTGAAATATACGTGCATGTAATGTGTTAATCAGGTCATCTTTGCAAGATTGATATTCCAAAACAAATATTCTAATTTTTATTCTTAAGGACAAAACATTGTAGCAGCTAGATTCAGGATTTCATTATTTTGAAAACATATTTGAGTAAAAGGTATTCTTAAAGAGCCCTTTATTCACCCAGTGTTTATGCATTTAAAATGAAGCCTTAGCTATTGACGTTTATAGAAGTAATTGAAAAAAACAAGCATTGGATATTTGCAGTGTGTATGTAGATGCTCCATCTAAGTGGGGGAAGGAGAGAACAAATATCGTTTACCCATCTAAATATTGGAATTAGTTTTCAAGTGGTCATTCTTCATTGTTTTAACTATGATGGTCTTAAAATTTAACAAGGTATCAAGTATTTGTTTTCAAAGTTTGTACTCAGTTTATTATAGTTACTATATCATCCTCTAGTTTTCTCCATTTATCTCAGACTGTGAGACTACAAGTCTGGTTATGGCAATTTGGAACTGGAGTTATTTTTTCCATCTCTCAGTATTAAGAAAGTGAAAATTTTGCCAGTCATTGAATATGTTAATTATTTTAAAAACATATTTGAGTAAAAGGGATTCCTAAAGTGTCCTTTATTCACCCAATTTTTATGCATTTAAAATCAAGCCTTTGCTATTGACGTTTATAGAAGTAATTGGAAAAAAAAAAAAAAAAGCATTGGATATTTTCAGTGTATATGTAGATGCTCCATCTAAGTGGGGGGGAGAGAACTTTTCATGATTTTTTGCAAGCGCTCAATCTGTAGAATTTACTGAATTTGGAAAAAAAAAATTCTATAGTATCTGCATGATTTGGAATTACTTGTATAGGCTGTTAGTATTCATTGTGTTAGCTCTTAAAACTGTAAAGAATAGAGGTAGTGTTGCTAAGAAATTTAATTTGCTAGAGTACTTTCTTTTTTTTTATTTATTTATTTATTTTTTTTGTTAACAATTCTTTTTTTTTTTTTTTTTTTTTTAACTAAACACTTTAACTTTAAGGAAAGTCATCCAGTGTTTTCATTGCTTGCTTAGGGATCCTGTCCAACAAGTTGCTTCTTTTTATCAGATGCAAATGATGCAAAGAGTGAATTTATTGGTCAGACATACTGATCATAATGATCAAACAACTAAGCTACATGTACACCATCTGGATTGCACCAGTCAAATGCAGGTAAAAAAATGTAGCCTGTCTTGGGGATAGAACCTCACTAATGTTGTTGAGCAGTATTTTTGTAGAGATGTATAGTTTTAATTGCATTGGAATATTTTATTGCATTTTCCTGATAGCCATATAGGAAAAATGAAGATTGATAGTAGAGCTAGATTATGCTGGTTACTGATAACTTTAAATGTTAATGGAGGGATAGTTTGTAGAAAGTAAACAACTACCAACTTGTATGACTTTCATCATTAAGAAGATACCCCTGGAAACTCCAAAATATTGTTAAAAACTGCTACAGGAATTATCATTAATAATATTAGCTGTGAGCTGCTAACTTGAACAAAAAATTGCTGTAATAATTAATACCTTATGAGAATGAACTATGATCTTAGTCTTTTGTCTAATGGCTTAAAGTGTATTGCCAAACACTTCCTTTCTTGAAGGGTATAGCTGATCCTTTTTACTTTCATGTCACCTTTCAGAGTCATGCTGGCTGGACGTAATTCCTTTATACATTCAGAGTCTTATAATATCATCCAAAATGATTTATTTATTAGAACCAAGAAAATGGATTCTTTAAATGTACTTTTAATGTATGCTGCATATAAGCTTATCCCCTTCCCTGATTTTTTTTTTCAGTGAAAAGCATAATGCATAAGATTTTACTTGATATCTTTGTTTTGATGTGATACTTTTGAAGTATAATGACTATACTTACTTTTTGAAGTCCTGTCATTTAATCATATGATGTGACTACATGTAGTAGATATTAAGTAAATAGTGCATTTCCTAAGCAGCTTTAATTGCTTTTTGTAATTATTATCATTTAAAAATGATTCACGTTTGATTGCTGGTTTTTATAATTTGTATGATTATAGAAAAATTCTTTTTCAGTTTGCTAATTTCAATGGCTCCACTTACAAATGAAATCAGACCTGTGAGCAGCTGCAATCCACCACATTTAGGACCACCTATTCCAGAAGTACTTCTGACTTTCAACATTAAGTATTTAAAGTTGATTTTTTGAAAATGCAGCAGTGTAAAAAAATCTGTGGGCATTTTTTTCTGCTAGCAGGGTTGCCACGCTACCTGGAAAACCGGAAAAAGTCAGGGAATTCAGAAATTGACCAAAAAATTCAGGGAAAAGTCAGGGAACTTAAGTGTTTTAGTCAAAATCTGGAAAAGTCGGGGAATTTCATACAACGATCCCGCCAAAAAAGGCGAGTTTTGCGCCGACGTCGGAAGAGATCACTTTTTTGGCGAATTGTGTATCACGTGAGTGTCATTCGGGCAGCTGGCATAGAGCCAATTTTCGCAGCTCCAATTTGATTGTCTTTTAGAAAGGCAAAGCAAGTTTCCCGCAACTTTTGGTTTCCAGTAACCTCGAGAATCGCATGTGCAGTGCATGAACTAAAGAAAGTACCTGTTCTCGTATAGAAACAAAATGGGTTTAATCCTAGTATACGGTACCATGAAGGTTAGAATAAAAAATATGTATTGTAAAGAAGAAAAACCTCTCTGCAACAGACGTGGCTCCGTTCCATCATAGAGGGAAACAGCTGTGCATGCGCGATATATCTGTCGCCAAAGCTCGAAACCGGTGTCGAAGTTCGAAGGTCACGTTATCAAGAGTTCATAAAATGAATATCGTTTAAAATTTCTTTAAACTCTAAAGGAAAAGAAAATATTTTTTGGCGCAAGTAAATTAATTCATGGATTAGTTATTTTGAGGGGGGAAAAAACTACGAAAATCCGTTTTTAAAATTATTGCGAAAAATCCAAGAAAAAATGTTTCTTCTTGGATTTTTCGCAATAATTTAAAAACGGATTTTCGTAGTTTTCTTTTTTGTCAAAGAACCAGAGTGTTAGTTGTAGTTGTTTTCTTTCTTACTTTGCCAACACGTAATCAGTTTCTCATTCTGCATTTCTACTGTTTCTTCTTAACACGTGTTTCTCAATTTCCTGTACACATCGCGGAGAGGGAAATTCTGGCCGCCAGGTTCCGTCGCCAAATCCCTTGGCAAATTTTCCCTCCTTGCTTTCTAGCCGCGTAATAGCATTTACGTGTATGGAACCTTTTCTTCTTTACATAGACGTTCTTTGGTTAGAATAATCTCCATGTATGGTACAGCGGGATTTGGCGACATGATGATGAGCAGTAAACGGGTCATTTTGTTCTTGGCGACAATTTTCAAAATCGTGCGAAGGCCGTACCGTATACTAGGATTTTACCGCAAAATCTTTTTTTTTTTTTTTCTTTTCTTTTTAATAAATACCTTGTCATTTTGCAGTAAAATAAAAAAATAGTAATCAGTCATCTAGGCTAACCATGTAATATAACTATATTCGCTAAAATATCGTTGATTATTCTAATTCAATTTTTAAGTAATTATCTTTATTTTTATGTTATTCATATCATTTAATGTTGCTTCTTCCCTCTAAATTTATTTATCATTAGTAAATAATATTTCCAAATTTCAGGAAATTTTCTCTCTGGCTGGCATAATCCTGAAATTAATTTCTAGCAGTATGATGACATCACGAAATTTAATGCACATATTTTTTTTTTTCCTTATGTATGCTGCGAAATAAATATAAAATACCTCAATTTAGTAAAAAAATATCATTAAATAGATTTCTTTCTTTCATTTAGCTGCAGAATGTCTGCAAAAAAAAGCCTTATTTTATTCCAGATTGGGCAGATTCTAATCTCAATCTTCAGTGGAGAAAACAACTCCTATTATAATTATATTTGTGTTTTCAAGTGTTAAGGTGCCTTTTAAGAAGACACCTCACACAAATTAAATTTACCTAAAATCTAACCTAACTTTTAGCATTGCGTTGTGATTTATAAGAACTTATAAGAACCGGATTAGCCTCATGTTGAACTGGTGATGATCATGAGTAATAATTAAATAAAACGTACAATTGTTATCCAATGTATATATCTTAAATTTTTTATTAAGTTTCTTAAGTGGAAAAGTAAACAAAATTATCAAACAAAGTGTACCAAGAATAATTAAGAATAAATGTCCTCTGGGATTTATTGAATAATTAAGTGAATTTGCTTTACACATACAAGTACTTAGCACACAGCCAACGTACATTATTACGCGGATAGACTGGAATTTTCTCGAAACATACCTGGAAAAGTCAGGGAATTTCATTCTCCTGTTTGAGTGGCAACCCTGTGCTCGTGCACTGTGGAAAAAAAGACAGTTTTTATCTTCCCTTCTACTGGCTGATTTACGAAATTTTTTGCATTTTCATCTCAAAAGCGCACTTTGAATTATTTTATATATAGCATTTCTAATATAGTATTTGACACAAATCGCACATTTCTGAAATGACATCCAATTTTTTACTAACGTACTCAAATTATGCCAAATTGCCAGGTTTTGAAAAATCGCACGTGTAGTTTTTAAAAAATTAACTCTTCAAATTTTAGCTCCTCAGTGTTAATTGAATTTGATATATATATATTAATATCTCTTTTTTATTAAACTTATTTGATTCTTCCTTTGATATTTCAAAATTTAGGTTCATTTCAAATAAATTCACCTATTTTTTATGATTTATTTTAAAAATTTGTACTTTAAAAAAAATTTTACAAATTTCCGAAAAAAATTTTGAATTATAAGCTTTAAAATTTTTCCATCATCTTAAAATAGATGTATTTGTAAGCATACCTGCAAAAAATTACAGTTTTTTACTCAACATTTCTGAAGATATACGTGAATTTGTTTATTGGCACGTTTTGAAATTTGGCATATTTGTTGAAAGCCATAATAACATCAAATGTGGTTTCGGCACTTTGTTAAAAATTATTTGAAAGTAGAAACGATGTGACTTTTTTTTCCACTCGTGCACAACGTGAAAGGTAAGAACGCTATTACATTTTCCCCTGCTCCTGCATAATGGAAGGGAAAGGAAAATAGGTTGCCATATATTAAGAAGTTCGCCAAGTGAATTATTCTTGGTGCAAAAATGCGCCAAGTTAAATTTTTAAATTTCACACAAAATTTTACAAAATTTAATATTTAGGCATAATTCGAGTCGTAGGACCGAAATATGGAAAAAAATTTGGTATGTTATTTCAGAAAGAGTCCAATTTTATGTCAAAGTACCTGTATAAAACAATGCTATGTATAAGTCTAATGTACACTTATGTCCATAAAATAAGGATAATTGGGAGTTACGCGGAAATCGAACTCTAAAATAAATATATCACCTGTAAAACCACTACACACATCTTGAAGAATCATATGCGAATTTCAGGAAGCAACCAGATTACACCGATGGTACATGACAATGATGAGAGTGTAAGAGAGTGATATATAAGGAATACAGGCAAAGAAATAAAACTGTTCGCAGGCGCATTATAAGCATTTCAGTGCAATAACCGAATAGTTATGACACAAAGGACGCATTTGAATGATTTTTTACGTGGTAGAATTATCGGCCGTCTGGAATGTGGGCGTACCCAACTGGAAGTATCAGACGAACTTGGAATTGCCCAGAGTGTCATCTCCAGGCTTTGGCAACGATTCCAAGATGATGGTAATGAGTAGACGTTACAGCACAGGTCGCCCCAGAGTTACAACGAATGAGGACCGGTATTTGGTAGTTACTGCCAAAAGGTGGAGCACAACCTCAGACCTGTCTCGTCAGCTTTCTCTTCATCCACTGGTACGACAATTTCAAGGCAGACCGTGTACAGACGCTTGGGGCAATTGGTCTGTATGCTCGTAGACCTTCAGATGCGTTTCACTTACTGCAACTCACTGTCGCCTGCGGTTAGCCTGGAGTAGAGAGCATGCATTGTGGACACCGCAACAGTGGGCTTGTGTGATGTTTTCCGACGAGTCCAGGTTTAGCTTGCAGTCTGATTCTCGCCGGACTTTCATATGGAGAGCTCCAGGTACCCGTTACCACCACCAATAAACATCATTGAACGACACCGTTGCGGTGGTGCAGGAGTGCTCGTTTGGGGTGGAATTATTCTTCTGGGTTCCAGAACTGACCTTCATGTTCAAATTGGAACCATGACAAGCCAAATCTATCTATCGGACGTCATTCTGGAACAACATGTACGTTTGTCTCGGGGTGCCATGGGCACACAGTTTGTGTTTATGGATGACAACGCCCGTCCCTCACCGTGCAAATATCGTAAGCGAATGCCTTCAATCGGAGGATATCACCCGTATGGACTGGCCAGCATTCTCACCAGTACTTGAATCCAGTAGAACACGTGTGGGGGACATGCTTGGCCGACGAGTTGCAGCCCGTCAACCTCCTCCTCCTCTACATGTCTACCGGAACTTTCGGAGTGCATTGCTTTTTGAGTGGTGTAATATCCCCCAAGATCAGATCGATAATAATAATACTCAGATGCCTAGGCGTTGTACGTACTGTATTGCATCGTCTGGGAGACATACAAGTATTAACAATCATACCACCATGTAATATTGGTTTTTTGTAAATAGGTTTTTTTTTGTAATTTGCTCAGGGAGAAAAAATCGCTAATTTTTTTAATAATATCGAACAACATCTAGCATCTTTTTTTGCTCTTTACCTTTTGTTTAATAAATAAGCTTTACAAATAAGTCAAATTTGTTTTGCTTCTAACTCTTCCTTTGCCTGATTTTGCATTATCCTTAATTTATGGACATGTGTGTACATCCTAAGTTGGGCTTTTGAGACATGAAAAATGCAATTTGAATTTCGTCAGTCAGCCCAGTAGAACGGAAGTTCTTTTTCCCGCCGTAGTATACATGTCTCCAAGATTGTCTATTGTAGCTTACTCCAGTTTCAAGATACTAATTTTACACTAATCCATACATAAGGCTTTACTGCTAGTTGTATTTGAAAATGATGTGTTTCATATATTTTATTATTATTTGCAAGCTGAGAGCTGTAGTTCTGTATGAGAATTAAAACACCATTTCTGTCTTATCTCATTATATGAAATCCTTAAATTAGATTTGTGTGTTTGTTTTTGAATACTTACTCACTTATTTTTTCTTTTTTTCATGTTTAATCATGATATGCCTGTATCAAGCCCTTTTCTCTCTCAATAAAGGCTCCTCTAGTTATAGTTATAAAGCAGTTTATTTAAAATTCAATACATATTCAATTTGGAATAAATCATGTGCAAAAACTATGAAGCACAATGATGAACTACAAGAAATAGGGGCCAAATATGCCAAAACCAAAAATAAAATATGAAATTTACATCTTTCACTGCATCATAATCAGGGGGTTAGTGCAATGAAAGAAGTAAATAAATAAAATGGCCTGTTTCTAAACTGACAGACTTAAAAAATGATTTTAGAATACAATAAAAGTAATCTGTGTCTTTATCAGTCCAACCCCTACAGTCCCAAATTGTAAAATTACAGCATCATAAACATTGACAAATTTTAAAAATGATTTTGAGTAAATCAAATCTAAAAATAAAACTTGCAAAAATAATAATCCAATACTTGAAAACAAAATTATATTCAAATTTTGAAAAAAATGTATGCCTGGTTAAAATAATAATATAAATCACAAACAAACAATAAAGCTTAAAAATATAAATTTACAATTTTAGTGGAATGAATCCAACATATAAACCAGAAGTAATCCAGAATATAAAAAACTATATGAAATAAATGAAAATCTGATTAAAAAAAACAAATAAAAATAGGAGATGAAGTTCTTAAAATTTGTAACAAAAAGGCAACAAAAGTTGAAATGTAAAAAATATATTCGCCTGTATAAATCGCAAACCTAAAATGTGTGAAATAATGAATTTAGAAAAACTGAATTTTAAACTGATTAAACCCAATAAGGTTAATTAGAAAAAAAGCTTCTATTATAACATAAAAAATGTAATAGAATAAAAAATTTCGAATTCCCTGGATTAGGAATCCAAAAAGACTGCAATATTCTGATGACAGAAGTTTTAGTGCATTTTGTTTATGTTAAAAATTAAAAGCTTTAGTAATTTCTCTAGTACATGTATAGTAAGTTTATAATTTTGATAATATTTTGTATAAAAATTACAAACTGTGAACAAAATTTACTTTAAAAATATGTGTTTCACTTTATTCTTTAACATTCCACATGTTAATGACTATTAAAATATTCTTCCTTAACCGCTTGCCTGATTATCCCGAGTTATCTCGGGTTCGTATATATTGCAGTTAATAATTATCCCGAGAAAACTCGGGCAAAACAGAATTTGTTAGTACGATTTCTTGTATCACGGTTTTACTCGGTCTGAAGGAAATGAAAGGAAATATTCAGCTTTGATGCCAGTTTGCCAATTTTGTTGTTTGCGGCGGTTCTTTTGGAGGGACTGGTCATGTGTTTCCCCTATTGTATAGTATATGTTGGCTTGTGGATTAGTAATGTATAAAGAAGGACGCATGCGTTGGGAAAAAAATAAATAATGTCGATGATGCAGGATAGCAAAGCGATGATTTTCAGATAGTGATTATGAAGATTTGGGGGGGGAAATCAAATCCAACGAGACATGTACTCTTGCTCCCGTGAAAGAGATTCCAGCGGTAAGCCATAAGAGAAGAGACCAGATACCAGGTAGAACGTCAGGTATCACTCTGTTTGTCTCTGTTTCAAAAACAATCATACAAAGATTAATCTTTACTATTTTCGTTGCCCGAAACTCGGGATAGGTAAACTAATATTAAAAATAAATGCTTTTACACCCTTTCAAAAATTAAAAATCCAACTTAAAACTTACATATTTTGATTTGTTTCGTTTTATTGTATTTAATCATAAAATTAAAAAATGTGATGATTTTTTGCAATTTTTTTTCAAAAAAATTTGTAAGGGAAGTGGTTAAAAACTGAGTAATCTTCTATTATAGAATTACCATTTTTGTCTGAGAAGCATTCAAAAGGCTTGTGAAAACAAATATCGTCTACCCATCTAAATATTGCAATCAGTTTTCAAGTAGTCATTCTTCATTGTTTTAACTATGATGGTCTTGAAAGTTAACTCTGTATCAAGTATTTGTTTTCAAAGTTTGTACTCAGTTTATTGTAGTTACTATAGCATCTTCTAGTTTTGAACTGGCATTACAGCACTTATTGCAGTTATTTGGAATACTTTATTTTTCTTCCATTATCCCTTTTGTGCAATTTTTAAAATGTCACCTAATGTTAAAATTTGTGCAAATGTTTATTTTGTATACATGACGGCTACTTTTGCATCATGTCAAATATTTAATGCACATTATTTAAGAATGACTATGTATATCATACATAGAACTATATATCATTAAAAATTTTTGATTTGTAACACATGAAATTATTTTAATGAATGTTTCTTCCATTTTATTCATCATATATACAAGAACATTTAAGTTCTTTTATTAATTTTAAAGAAGTAGAAAGGCATGTAATGATTATAAATCAGTGAGTTCGAAGAAAAATTTAGTGTATAAATAGGAAGCAAGCTTAGCTAACTTACTAAATTACTAAATTACAAAATGCGGTATTTGCTGTCTTTGTTAACCAGGCATAAAAATATTAACCAAAAAGTCATAGTATGATATTTTACTTTGCTGCTGCTCTGCATTTGTTTGGTAGGTTTCTTAGCATTTGATTATAGTATTTCCACTGTAAGGTGGCCGAAATTTCCTGCATTGTAAAAGTCTGCGTTTTATAAAATACAATATTACATTTCCCTAATGTTTAATATTTTTATGGTCATGGAATTTTTTTAATTATTGAATTATCTTTTACCTGCTCTGTAGGTCAGCTCAGTTTGGTTTAAACTTTTTCTGTATAGTGTAACAAAATGTGGTCCTCCTTCCCTCCTCTTGACAAAAGGCACTAGGCTTCGTGTTCTTCCCAAAATCTTTAAGGTAAGTTATCAGATTTCATGACATTGTATAAAATATGAACAAAGTTTTTGTTCTTCATATTTTCTAAACAAGAGTTGGGTTTGTTATTTACTCTTTACTTGCTATGTACAAAACATTTTATCTGTCTAAATGTTCTGCGTAAATAAATTCCATAAGCAGTGTTATGCTTCGAGAGTATAGGTTTATTGTAGTTTTCACAAATATTTCTACTTATCATGGTACAAAATTTCTGCATCATAATTTTTTATTCCATTAAATATATGATATTTTGTTATATTGTATTTCCTTTTATTACTGTTTTTCAAAAATCTTTAAAAACATATATATTTGTGTAATACATGCTAGTGTTACCGTGTTTCATCATGTTTTTATTTCGTTTTTTTTTTATTTTGATACATATAGAAGTTTAATTTTTTTTTTTTTTTTTTTTTTTTTTTTTGATAAATGAACTTTCTTAATTTGAAAATTTTTCTAAAAGAAAAATCAACTCTGTATTTCTAACCTTTAAAACTTTTATGAAATATATTGTGTATTTTTCGGAAAGCAAAAGTGATTTGATCTGGAATCTGCAACAGCAGATAACTTGAAATCCCTGAAAAGCAGATTTTGTGAAAGAAATTAGCTCACTTTTACAGTTAATTTAAGCATTTTCTGTGTTAGGCCTGATTACCGAACATATTATCTTTACAACTTCCAAAGTTCTTTAAGATATCAAACAAGCAGTTACTAGTAATTATTCATCTAACTGATCCAGGACATAAAAATGAAGAAAACACGTAATGTGAATTTATTATATTGAAAAAAAAAGTTATCTCTTAATTTTCATTCTGATGGCATCACTTGCTGTGTATGACAAGTGCTATGAATGACATTAAATGAATATTACTAAAAAAAATCTTGTAATCTTGGTCTTTAGATTTCAGTTTAACCATTTGAAAGGTATTAAAGACCAATATTCTTGCATTTTGAAACAAGAAAATTCATCAAAGAAATAAATTTTTTTTTATATAATGAAGAAGTATTTTTGTATAAACACATTATTAGTAGAAACTGTAAAAATTCTAGCCTCTAAGAATTGAAATTTGCTGCAGTATAGATTTGCTAGGAAAAAATACAAATGTTTTACTTTGCTTTAACCCTTTGTTGAGCATTAATGAGCTTAGATTGCAAATGTTAGAATGGGTACAAACACATTGAGCCTTCATTAGTAATTTTTGGTTTATAAAACACAAAGTAAAATTTTTTCCATATTAAATTAACTCTTTCACACCGAAGTGGCCCCAAATGCCCAATCATTCAGACAACAGCAGGTCACCCGAATGCCTGAATGATTTCCTACGTAGTGCTTTTCCCCATCATGTTACTGCATTACTCATTGCTTTCAGGAGTTGTTAAATGACATGTCAGTCATTCTTTTCAAGGCGACTAAAAGTAGTTCTGTTATTTTAATGCACCTTCTTTTTCCTTTGTTTACTATCAATGTTTAGCTATTGATGTCCGAAGTTGCAATCCCATACCAAGGGGAAACTTCACACAGGGTGAAAGCATCCAAGAAAGAAGTTGTCACTTTATTTAAGTAGGTTGTTGTTATTACTTAAGTAGGTTCGATTTTTGAGGAAAAAAGATTTGGTCCTCTCTCAATGCAAAAGAGTTAATGAAACTCACCTCATTTTATTAGAACAAAAGTTTTTTTTTCCTTTAATATCACTGACATTTACCTTTCAGAAAGTAAATGATTGTGCTTTCTGGATTTTCTGATTTTACTTACTGAATACAGATGGCATTGTGGTGATTAGCATTCCCACAAGATGATAGCATGCTGTGACACTTCAGTTTATTCTCATGGCACATGAAGTACAAGCTGGGATCTGAAAAGGTTTTTGTTGATCACCTTATTTACTGAGAATGCATAACTCAGACTTATTCAAAAATTCTAGAAATAAAATATAATCTGTTAAGTTTTACTGATGGTGTGATATATATTTTTTTACATGCCAACCTATCATTATATGTACCATAACTGCACAAGAACAAATTAAATGATATTTTTGGGACAAATGATTCCATGTTTGGTGACCTATGTTCATGAACACGATGTTTGATCATAAACTGTGCTACAATTCACGAAGTGTGTGCATGTCTTATTTTCTTATGAATTCTGTGCAGTGCTGAGTTACTAAGCATATTTATGTTATTTTAAGGGTTATAACAAAATGCCTCGTGTATGTATATATATAAGATAAAAATATATCAATCAGCTTTATAATTTACTTTAGTAATGGCTTCTTGATACCTCATCTTTAATTTGGGTGTTTCCTTTCTGTTTTCTCAAAGTAGTAATAACTTTCCTGTCAGCACCATTTCTAGATTAATATATGCCATAGAGCTTGCATAAAACTGATGATGTAGCTTATTCAGAACTTGAAGTTTTGAGAACTGAAACTTTTCTAACTTAAACCAAATCCTTCCTCTTATCGATCTTCCATATTGGATAAAAGCACACTTTCAGCTTCACCCTCTGTGCTGCTTGGACACAATTTTGCTGTCTCTCTTCCTATTGTAATAGTTTAAAAATGTAAATGTTCTGGAAATAGGTACGATTAGAGTGTCAAGTGAATTGTGGCCAGAATTGTTAATTTAAATAAAACTAAACTAAGTGGGGCAAGTGTGCAGTGGCCAGAAATCTGCTTTCTTGACCATGGGCCAGGGGTGTGTGAGCATATGCCCTGAACAAGTGGTCAGCTTGTCACAGTATCCCCGGTGTTTAGTCCCCAAGCGGACTTGGTACTTATTTTATCGACCCACTCAAGGGATAAAACTCTGAGTCGACCTTCCCCAGCCCGATGTTCGAACCCCGGTCCTGTGGTGCTGGTACATAATGCGCTAGCCACTGCACCACCGGGCGTCAATTTAATTAAAAAGGGAATTCAATCTGCCTTGACTGCCCAGTTCCTATTCATTACGGATTAGCAGCATTCTTCCTCTTCAGTATGGATATACTTCATTCTGTGAGTTGTATGTGCTATGCTATCAACATTTGGTATGTCATTTTCTTCTTCTGCATTTCTATGTCTTGGTGTTCCTGTATCAGTACCTGTTAATTTGTTTTCATTACATATATATATTATTTTTTTAGTTATAAATATCATAAATTGTCAGAATATTTTAATTAGCATATAATTTTTTAGCATTAACTCTGTGGTTTTCTAATTATTGTGTAAATGTGCTATTTTTTATGATTTTTGTATTTTTTATTCCCTTTTAACTGTGTGATATATTTGATACCTTGCATCTATCAATTTGTGTTTTTTAATTTATTTCTGCTTTTTATTGCATTTATATTCTGTTTGTGTGAACATATTTTTAAATGTATTTTACTTGTTTGTCTTAAGTAAATGTGACCAAAATCAGTCCTCCTACTCTTTCTTACCTATTGGTTTAACCCGGACCTTCATGTGCTAACATTAGTTTCTGTTTTTGCTTCTGGTTTCGAGAGATTGATTGAAATAAACAAACTGGAAGTCACGGCTATTTATAAGTGAGCCTGTGAATTAAAGGGGCACAGGCATTTTTGTTTATTTCATTAGGATTTTTTTCTATTTATTTTGAAACTTAACATAAGCTTTCTTAGTTAATCAAAAAGTAACATTACAACATTATTACAGAACGGGAAAGACTATCAGCTTTCTCAATAAGTAATGCGTCTTGCTCGCATTTCTCAGGAAAGAGCCAGCGTTTTTGTTTTTCTTACTCAATTTAATAGGTCATTATATATAATGCCTTGAATGGTCATTATGTATAATGACACAGGCGTTATATTTTTGTATATAATGTATTTACTTTACATATAATGTAATTATATATCATGTATATATATTGATGTGATCAGTAACGGATATCCCGCCAGTGGGGCTCTTTCCTTGATCACTTTGCGGTCATCATGGACGCTGTTTTTGATTTAGAAAAACAGGAAGTTTTCTAATATAAACCTGATGTTACACAGGTTTTGAGGATGAAATATTTCTGAGTGTCTTTTGAAGAAGTTTTGGGACATGTGTCGGGCTTATATTCAGTTTCATTCCGTTAGCCATGGCTAAGAGACCTTACTTAAAAACTTAAAAATTTGTCTAAAATCACCAGACACTATACCTTTCCGTCTAACTGGAAGACAGTTTCTAAAAATTTACGTTGACGGAAAAGTGATAAAGGTAGGAGAGGATGCGTTGTGTGCACTAAAACCAAGGGAAAGTGAAAGCAAACAACGTATTTTGAGTGCGAAATATGCAATGTAGGACTGTGTGTCGATCCTTGTTTTGAGTTATTTCACTCACAGCAGAATTTTTAAATTGGAATTTAAATACCTATAGGTAGTTCTTGTTTTTTTTTTTTTTTTTTTTTTTAGTTTTCGTATTTGTAATTTTTTCCCTGTTTATACAGTCAAAAGTCGTTAATTCGGACTCGTCAGGACTTCGGCGATTCCGGATTATCGATTTTTCTGGATTATAGATCATCAGTTTAAATCTGGTAAGATGGCATGCAGAAATTACAAAATTAAAAATATGAAACCGTAATTTATGAAATAAAGAACAATTATGATCTAAAGGGTATCAAAATTTACAAAAAGAAAAAGCTTAATATTTATTTGTTTACTTTATTAAACATTTCCTTCAATGTAAGTTGCTTCGTTTCATGTGATAATACTTTCTCTTTAATTCTATTAAACAGACATAATTTCTTGTTTAGTTACAAAGTTCCGCTGTTCAAGTCCTATAATTGCTGTGTTGAGAATACCGACTAATTTGTCAATCGAAATGTTTTCGTTTTCAATAACCTTTGGGTCACTTTCTTCACTATCGGAAGCGAATTATAATGACGAGGAACTTGATTTAAATCATATCAAACACGGAGCACATCGAGATGAACTACTACACTTAGTACGGAATTATAAACCAAATAAAATAAAAACATCTGCCCTGAAGATAAGGATAGTGCTGACAGATCAACTTCCAATCCACGGCTTGAAATTGATAAACAGATTTCGGATTTCAAAACATACTTTCGCTTTGTAGATACAAATTGCATATTAGTAAATATATATCGGAAATTCTGTTTGACATAATCTTTCTAATCTATCATAATCTAATAATGACGTTTCTGCCCCCCCCCCTCTGCCGCAGAGCAGCGTGAAATTGATAAACAGATTTCGGATTTCAAACCATACTTTCGCTTTGTAGTAAATATATATCGGAAATTCTATTTGACATAATCGAAAGTTCAAGCTTACTTTTATAAAATTGCTCTAACAGTCTGCAAAAAATAATAAGCCGGATCCAATTCGAAGATTAAGGAACAACGCAATCTGCAACATTAACTGAATTAGATAATTTTAGCTTAGCGTATAACTCTGTTACACATTAAACGCGCATGCGCACAAACATATTCGCAGCCGTAAGGGTCTTACGCGCTCTCGTAAACGCCTGTGCGCATGCGGGAACGCGACACATGTGCAGAAAGTTTGTAGCTTTGAGGTCCGGATTATAGATCATTCCGGATTATGGGTGTCCGAATTAACGACTTTTGACTGTAGTATTTATTTCTGCGTGTATAATTATGATTTTTGTATTTTGTCTGTTTATTTCTATTAATGTGATATTCTTCATGTTAATACACATTATAAACAAGTACATTAAATACGTAACTTAAAATTTGAAGTCATAATATCCAAATGCTGGTTTTATACTTTTTTTCTGTGTAAAATTGGGCTTAACTCCTGAAAATGCGTGTACTGGTGGCGACGATCCATTTCAGCACGTCCGGTCCCGTGACTGCGCTTCATTCTTCCACCGCTGGTCCTTAAGGCGTTAAGTCACATAATTTTTAACAAATGAGCCCCAACTTTTGGTTTGCCGAAATTAGGGCATTGCAGGTATAAGTTATATGAAACAAAATTCAGTCATGTTGTCTGTGCCATTGGATAGAACATTCTTAACAGTGTGAGTGATATTCCATTGCAGCCCCTCTTTATCGATGAGAATGAGACACTCAATAGGTGTTTAATTAAACTTCACTCTGAGAGTCAAGAATCCAAGGTTCATACTTCATTGAAGGATCTCTAACTGGTTGATCAGCACCCCTCATAATTGCTTTCTCGCTTGGGAAACCTTGCAGGTTGATGGTGAAAGCTCTTGCAGAGATTCATCTGACTCTCTCAACTTCCAGAACATACCCAGAGCATTCTTGCAGCTGTCAGCAATGAATTATCGAAACTAGCCGTTGTCACTGGCAAAATTACAGACCTAACAAATCTACCCACCATTAATAATGCTGTAGTCCCTCAATCATCTCACCTAGAACATAAAATTTCACAAATCAACAAGTTGTTGAGTATTGTAAACAAATGAGAATGCTCACAAGAGCACGGAGAGAATAATGTTAGACACAACAAATAACATTGTCAGTCCCAAAGTCCCTATCACCAGTACAAAGACCCAGCTAATAATAATTTTTTTTTACATACAAATTTTGGCTCCAGGCTGGGAAAAAAGTAATTCTCCTAGTTCTTTTCATCTATCAGAA